AGCCCGACGATGTAGTCTTGATAGAACTCGTCCTCAACGATGCACTGGACGTCCCTGACTACCCGCGCTGAAACCGTTTCCACCGGCAGCAGCGGTTTGACAGGAGCGGCACTTGCGACGCCCGCACGCGAGATCAAAATTAGAGTGATCAGCGTCGAAAACATGCCATCAGGGTGCCTACTCCATTGCAGTTTGAAACTCGTCATATTCGCCTTTAAAGGGTCGTTTTTAAACGAAAAGAAAAAAACAATAAACAAGATGTTCACATGTGTATAGTTTTGGTTGTTAATGAGAAATCTCCATCTTTAAAACAGAAATAATAACAGAAATTTGTGGGCCGAAAAAGGGAATAAAATGACGGAGAGGAATAGAACAGATTTATACTTCTTTTTTCAGAAGAAATACACAGATCACCGGTAGTAAAATCGAGGTCCAAATATAGTGTTACGAATAATTAACAACACGAAAAGTCACGATGGTATAATTTTTTTCAAAATGCTTTAGATATATCTTATAAAAAGAGATTCGCAAAACAATCTTGAAAACTAACTCTAACGTTTTATTGTTGGTTATAATTTAACGCCGCTTAAAAAGCACCAACTTGTGGGAATCAGTTCCAGCGAAACTTACACTCGAGTTGTCAGGTAGCGTGGAGGCGGTCACGGCGCTTCAAACGTCGGGTCGGTTCGGTGATCGTTACACAGTCACAGTGGCTGGGCTGTGTCCAGAAAGTCTCTTTTTCTCGAGCTAGTCTTCGAAATTTTCGACTCCAGTTTTTAGCAAAGAACTCTCCGGCAAGTCTTGTCAGTTCGAGCCAGTGATGTGCCTTTTATATAAGTATGGCCAACTTCCATGGAACGAAATCAGGCGATCTCAATCGTTCGTCAGCGAAATGATCCTCACTCGTTGACCACCGAAAATTGTGTTCCCTATTTTTTACTTTTGAGCTCATCAAAACTCTTTTTAAGTGCCCACCAGTTGTTTTATGGCGAGGCGATTGCAGTGATAGGTGTCAGACAGAATCGTCATTTACAAAATCTATACCCGGAAATTTCTTTGCCGTTCGAAGGTGGGCGTTAACCAAAATTACCTGGCCGAGGAAAAGGCAAGGTTTTCAGCATGATTGTATTACATTTTAATGGGACGCTTGATCACCGAAAAGCAGAAAAAAATGCTAAGCGATTTATTTATACTTTTTTCCTGGAAACTCTGACCGATGCTATCCATTGTACGGCTGGATTCAGTCGAAAAATATTGTATGTATTTGGAGCGTACTGTGCGCAAATCGTAGTCCATGTGATCGATTTAACCTCCACAAAATTTCATTTTAAGCCGAACAAAACACCTGATGCAATTTTGTTTGATCAGTAACAGGTCGGAGGTGACTAGTTATGTAGAAACCTTTGAAATACCTTAACCCCTCATTTGGGACAGGAGTTACTTGAATGTATGTCATATTAAACTCGCAGAAAAGCGCTCAGTCGTGCATAGTGTGCCCAGTCTGAAACATACGCTCTGTTTTGTCGAAGAGCGCATTTCAGCCGAACAGAAAAGGGGATTCCTCACTGGAAACCGGCGTCCATTAAACAGCTCTCTGCCTGAGGTAGGTGTTTCCTCTAAAACTTGATGTTGGTTTCAAAACAAAGAAATTACGTAACATGCTAATGTAAGCCAAGCGCCTACATAAACACCACAACGTAACCTGTAAAAAGACTAAACAATCGTGATTTTTCCTGAGCGCAAGAGATTAAGCAAGAAAAATCCCGCTTATATTAGAAACTAATAGTAAAAACAATTTAATGGGATTTTCTGAAGAAAAAATGAATAAAGCCAGAAAAGCTGAGAGAAAATAATCAAAATCGCATCCATGTGTACATATTCAAGGTCTGTGCGCATGCGTGCATAATTATGAATTTATTAGTTAAAAGGTCTATGCAATGTTGCCCTCCATTATCTTCCAACCCAACACAGTAAATACCCAATAGATTTCTGCCTCCTTGCAAAACTCAGACCAATTAAAAATCATCCTCGTACCCCACATGTTTATAAATCAAGCAACCATAATGTACTACCGCAAACGGATGATATAGCGATGTGATCTCGACGCAACCCCCCCCCCCCGCGGTATTCCGGGAAAGCTTCTTCAGTCACGTGAGACTTAAACTTAGCCCAAACCACCGAAACGAGACGGCGTTTTCATCGCCACGAGTTCTTAAACTGGGTTGCGGTTGTACTCAGAAAGTGATAGTCTTTTCCAGAGCTCAGGGATTTCCAAGTGATATCTCCTTTGCTGGTCGCTCTGGTCTTGCAGGCCAACACTGGCGCGTACACACAACCCGATACGTCGAGCGTCTGCAATTACGTGATTCAGAGCACTGTTTATATATTATATTTTTGTCAGTACACTGATACGTTGCCCTCAGTCGCGAATTGGCAGTGTGTAACCACGGGGGAGGGGCTTGAGGTCACGTGACCCGAACACCGGGATGCCCATGTCCCCCCATCCAGTTTGAAAGTTTGAATTTTGAAGAAAAAAATCACAAGCTGAACTTCTTGTCTTTAACACCCCCATCTCCTTTATTAAAAGCAGTGCCTCCCGGTACCACCCCAGTTGTGTCGCTGCTAGTCAGCCACGCCCACTTAACCCCATCCAACCCCAGTTTGCCAAATGATTCGACGTCAAAAACGCACGAGATTGTTTCGGTTGGGTATGCGGTAATGACGCGTGCACTATAATTAAGAAGTTATAGCGCTGTACTTAACTTTTTGTTTCGAAATGAAGTCCAGCATCTGATAGCATAATCATCTTATGAATACCCGATTTGGGTGCCGGTTTGTTGCCATCTCTGGCTGTCTCAGAGTTGCCGATTGTACTGAATCTTCGAATGGTCAATGACCATTGTATCTACAAACTGAGCCATTATGCGCTCTCGACAATATACTGACACCATATTCTATAACCCACACGTGTACAATGTCTGTGATTCTTTTCTGGACGCGTGCTGACTTTCGTGTTACTGTCTGTGACCGCATACCTCCGAGTTAACCGGTGATTTATTGGCGGGAAACGGCGAAGAGAAAACAAAAGTTTAGAATCTTACACAGCAAAGGGAAATTACAAACAGTCGAACGGGGAAGTCGGAACTTTCTGAAGGAAGTTCAGTATCTTGTAAGAAATATGATAAACGAAGACGCTGGCATGAGCCGGCACAGAAACACGTCTGTTATTTCAAAATCTACCCAAACAACCAATAAGTTATTTTTAATTACGGGTTTTTGTAATAAGTTATTACTTAACAAAATATAAATAGCGTAAAAGCTAAACATTAATTTCACAAGCACCTTTTGGAACTACAAACTGCAGCTATCATACTACGTTTAGGTACAACCCCCCCACCTGAGTTGACATTGAGAAATAAATCTGAAACTACGTAATTAATAGTCAATACGCTTCAATACTATTGCTTCGAGATTTCAGTTTTCTCTGAGGTACGTACTTTGGTGTAATAACATAACAATTTTCGTTTAAAAACATGCTTTATTTAAGTTAACACAAAAGCATACGTATAAATAAGCACTTAAAAGAGCGAAACGACATGTATTGCACTGATGGAGTAACAAATGAACACGGGACCATGCTAAGTCCTGTTATTGCAGATAGACACAAAATATCGAATCTTAATGTAAACAGTAGAATGACCTTATGTTAAAATGATTAAAACTGCCCACAGGAAGAAATATTGATTCACTCATTAAAATATGAATGCGACTGATAAAGTATTCTATTATTCATTCTGGTATTTTTTTTATTTTAAATGACATGAGCTTTCGGACATAACCCGCGTGTTGTTGATCCGTTTAAATTATTCATCTCCACTGATGAATACAGGAGGTGAAAGCATTCAAGTCAAAACACATTACTGAACTGTCGTCGCCCACTTCTTGTGGGGACGAGAGCCGTTTCGAATCACGATATCAAGCGTCCAGAGAAGCAGTTTCCCAGTTTGTTTGTTTTTTTCAAATAGTTCCTCGTTTCTGAGTGATTGCTATCCATACAACACCCTCAGGTCAAGACCAGTATGCACAATCTAGGCAGTTCTTCTCTTGTGAAAGTGTGGACCAACAGTAAGGAATTCCATATCTGCCG